TTAAGGGGCGTTCGTTTCCTATTTTTGAAAAAATGAGAATAAAAAATATAGTTGTTATGGCCCCACATAAGAGATAGAAATTCTAATTTGGTGGCTTGATGTGATGGATAACAATTATATTTTTTATTTTAATGGAAAAAGAATGGAAAACGAATAGGAGTTTAATTCATAAATTGTGATTCATCTCCATCTTTTAGAGATAATGTCATTTTAGATTGAAATTTATTCAGTAATAAAATTACCATGAGACTTGTTGCAGATCTCTTTGGAGCATGGATTGGACCATGTTGAAATCCAATTTTGCTAATTTAAGTAGCAGTTGATCTGCCTCATCATTGTTAGTGCATGCTTCAATATTCCACCTCGCTTCTAGCCTCTGCATTCTTCGTTGAAATGGAATTTCCAAGGCATGTCTCACTCGTGCACCCATTTTCATGTCAGTTTTTCCCAGCATTTCTTTGAGGTTCATAGTTGTGAATTCTCTTGCCTCATCTAATATATTCTCTCCAGTATATGCAACATGTGAAGCTTCATACAACTTTAACATTCCTGGAACATCTTGGGCCAGGCGTCCCTTAAAGTTGCCATTGTGGTCCTTGAAATTCTCGAAAATATCTGAGCACGAGATAAAAGCCAGTAATTTAGGACAAAAAATAGGAAAAATTCTTTAAGAAATATTGGGAATCAAATAGTAATAAGATTCTTAGGGGGTGTGTGAGAGACATTTTTATGTAAAAATGTATTTTTGAATAGTAAATTGATGGAAAATGTGTGGTTGAAAAATAAGGAAAAGTTTTTTATTTACGTGTAATATTATTTTAATAAAGAATGTGTGGTTGAAAAGAAGGGAGAGAAAAATACATTTTGAAAAAAATGGGTACCAAACTGGCTCTTAATCTATACACTTTGGCTGTTTCGTGAATCCTTCGTTTGTAGTTAAGAAATATAATAAAAAATAGCATTAACTTTTGCCTTGAGCTTTCCTTTTCTTTCTACTTTGATTCTAGTTTGAATAATATTATTTGTCATCGTGATCATATCAACATATATGGCATCACACTAACATTAAATGATAGATCCAATTAAATGTAGACTCATGAAATCTATATTATTATATATATCATTCATTGCCATGTGATAATCCTAATATTACTCTTTTAGTTAAATACTTTGATGTCTTTATATATAGGAAAATGTTATATGTACACCATGAGGTGTATACAATGAATTACACCCCCCTCACATGGAGGGAGGTTCACGAATATTTGATTGTATGTGGATCTCCCTTCATGTAAGAATGATGTAATGCTATGTGTACACCATTGTGTACACACACAACACCATTTATAAACTTGCTTTCATTGATTTAAAAAGAAAAATCATGTGTGACTGACTACGTACCTGCAGAAACCTTGTATCCATGTTGTCTAAGGAGGGTAAAGTAGAGAGCACAAGTATGAATACAATGGTTCATTTTTTTCATCACTTTTTCTGAAACGATAATTCTGTCGAGGGCACATTTTGTACTCTCTCTGAAACGGTATCCCAAGCCTAAACGTTGGATTTCATCAATTAATTGAAGTATGTCCAATGGCTCCGCATCTTCATCATCAAGCATGTACTTCACTGACTCCTCCAACTCCCTTATGCTACTATCCTTCGGAACTTTCTTCTGCATGCAAAATAAAATATATATAAGAATTTACTGAATTTTTTTATTGTACGAAGAGTACGATAACTTGAAATTAGACGGGAAAAAAATTCCAGTACAAAAATTAATCAATAGAACTTGAGTTTAAATTTTATTCATTATTCTTGTATAGATCTGAGAATTTATTTTCAATTCTAAATATATCGCATTTTTTCATTTTATTTCATTTTGAGTTAACGTATGCTAGGTTCAAGTAAAACTTTCACCACCTAGGAAGTTTTTTTCTTCAACAGCAAATAAATGAAATGAATTGAAATTTAAACAAGTCGACGAGTACCCTTTTTTTTAAGAGCTTGAACTTCAATAATTATAATATGTAAAAAAATGTATTATCCTCGAAGTGATGTGAAAAATAGAAAAAATAAATAAATACAGAATCCACTACCCCATGATCATCTCCCATAGACATCATGAACTCATGACTCCAAGAGCTCGGCTTGTAATAGCCAGAAGCTCGTTTAGTAATCAAGTAGTTTGTTTGTTTGTTGGCAACACAGCATATTTGCCAACTTTGTTCGAAATTACAAATAGCTCCTCTCAAATTGTGTTTGGGAAGATTTTGAACAAAAGAGGAACCAATGGGTAAGAGTTGGATATTGTTTGCCATCATTTCATACAACAGAGATGATAATTCTTGTTATGTATAAGCCCATTGTCTTTGATTACGAATATTTATAAGCATGGTGCGTGGATTTTATTATAATATTTTATTCGTAGGATTGGAAAATGACAAATTAAATAAATTATCTTTGTTTTTTTTTTTTTTTTTAAGTTTTTTGTCAAAAAAAAAATTTAAACTATTTTTCAAGACACGTTAAACCTTGAAACTGTGAGAAACTATTTGATCCTTAACACAAATAATGTATTAATTGGCTGAACATAGAAGATTCCTAGGAAGATATTTATTGAATCACACACATTAAAAACATTTTATATATTGATTTGTATCATGTTTTGGAGACTCCAACTGGTTCGCGTCTTTGAACATGGTCACATGCAAGGGTGACCAGGGGCGGAGCCACTAGCCATTTTTTTTTTTTTTTTTAAGGTTTGTTTGTTTGTTTAACCAAGTAACTCAATTCTCGATCCAGCATACAGAGAGAAGCCCAATTGTGCAAGATCATGACTCGTTTTAGATCCATTCATATCAAAATTCAATTGAATCAATTGTTGACCCAAACCCATTCACTCATTTCAAAATTTCTACCCTTCATGACTTTGTCTGTGACGATTTCACACTTCACCACCCACTTCCCTCTCCACCGGTGACAAAGCCCGTCGTTCCCTTCCATCTCCGTCAACCGTCGTCTTGGATAGTCGTCACAGCACAACTGTCGTTCCCTTTCCCTCTTCGACAGTCCATTATTGTATATCTCCTACTCTAGGCTCTCATCTTGACATCTCACATCTCTGACTCCGACTTTACATCCTCAGCTCTGCCAAGGCGCCAAGTGCCAACGCCAACCAGCCGAGCCGACAAAAGAAGAAGCCAGATTCCAGAAAGCAAAAGGCGAAGCCCCAAATTTTTTTTCCCTTATTTTTTTTTTGGTTATTTCAATTTGTGTAAATTGTAATAATTTTTTTTT